CATATCGTGCTTTAAATATAATTAAATATGATACCTACTATGAAATTTAAATTTTCACCATCAAAATTATTCTTTTCCATTTGTATCTAAAAGCAATCAGAATCATAATCTTACGAAAATGTGGTTTAAGCATATTATTATTTCTTGAAATAATGTAAGACATGATACGTACCAGTAACGAATTAATTATTCCGATGTATTCCTGTTTCCTTGAATATATGTTGCTTATGAATTCAATATTTCCAGCTAATTTACGCTTGACATTATTCACATTACATTCCTGTTCCTATACAATTAAAATGCCATACTTTACTAATTTAGATGTTTTAAATGAATATTAATATATCAATAAACATTTTTCAAAAGATCAAANTTGTAAGATAGTAGGCCATTCCTGCTGCTATGATTACCCATGTATTTACTTTCTTAGTTTGTAAACATGTATAACAAATTCTTGCTCCGAAATATATTGTATATTAATTTTATTCGATAATTCATGATAAATTATAAATGATTACGCAAGAAAAAATAAACTTGTGAATATTACTAAGGATTTCGTCAAATTCACCGTTCATTCAGATCCAAAGTTCTTCAGTAGTTTTTATACAATTTTGCGATCATGGTAGTATAAGTGGAGCGAGTATTTTTAGAAAGTAATTCCTTTGTTTAATTACATTGATAAATTTATTTATAGAATTTGAATAACATTTTTTAAATACTATTTAAATAAAGTAAGGTCGCTTGACTACTTGTAAACGTAAGCAAGAAAACTGATTTATTTTGTTTGAAAAGAAAATTATTCGAACATAAACGCGTAATTTCAAAACTAGGGATTGTAGGGACAAATAAAATTTCTCAATAGAAAATGAGCAGTCGAAAATATACTTTTGTAAAGTATCAAGACAAATATTTTGAAGTTGTACCTGCAATAGAAATTAATAATATGTACAAATTAAAATTGAAGTTGCAGTAAAAACAGAAAAGTGAATTTATGAAGTGCTAGTTCAGTTAAGAAGAAAATAAAGTGATATCTTGTGGATGTAAATGTAAAGGAACATGTTCCAACAAAATTGGTGATTATTTAAAAATTGAACTGAGCGTGCTATTTCTGTAGAGTTCTGAAATTACGCGTTTGGTTTCTAATAGTTCCCTCTGCATTAAAAGTGAAATCAAATTTTTTTTAAAAGTAGATAGAAAAAGACTATTTTATGTAAAAAGTATTTTATACATTTAAATTCATCGAAAGATAGAATCAATATCACTCTGTTAAAATTACATCTGAATTCAATTTAATGAGAAATATTTAAAAAACATGTCAAAGTTAGATAAAATTCATGTTTTAGATATGTTTCAACAAAATATTGTAATAATGAGAAAGTTACGTACATCTCATCTTTAAGTTTTTGTTGCATTTTATAAATTAAGAGTAAAATAAATTGCAAAAATTATTTACAAGAAACTTTGAATGTCCATGGATTGGAAAGCAGCAACAGGTACGAAATAAGAGTGACAGTTTCTTCAAGTTTAAATTCTCTCATTGCCGTAATAAACAATATAGTACCTTAACCCATCTTAACCTTTAAGCCAAGACTGTCGCATGTAGATCGAGTTTCATTGCGATACATCATTAGTCGAGATGCGATCTATCGACTTTAATTTTTTAAATGTCATATGATTTTCGTGCGTATTTCATTTAATTTTTAAGCACACAGAATTTCTTTTTTAGTAGAAAATAATATTTTAACAATGTTGGATCAAGTTCTAAAAAAAGATTCTATTTATGTTAATCAACGAGACCAGTTGAAATTATTACATGTTGAATGGTCAACTTTATC